CATGCATGTGTCTGCATCTCTTTGTAGGAGAGTGGTAGAGAGAAGATCCACAGCCTGGGTGCCTTTTGGCAAATCCATGCCTCATCCATGATACCACAGATCATGTTATATTGCTTGCACACCATGTGTCATCAGGCACTGACAAAAGACAAGGGGGTCAGGGGCCCTGGAGCTTCCAAAATAGATGGAAGAAAAAGAGAGTTAGAAGAGTGCATACAGAACAAAATATTTGTGTGGGACAGGAAGTCTTTGGACAAAACGGGGGCTCATATTTTAGAGCCTTTCCATGAGCTTTGAGAAAAAAGAGATATTTTCTTCAGTTACTCACAGTCATCTATTAATTGTGGTTTCTGATTAGTTGTGCTCACATCCTATTTGGCCCAGGATCCCATTGCATTTATCAGGTCAGGATGAGTTCCCAGTGTTTTTACACTTATTCCCCCAAGTAACAGGTGTGTACTGCCCATCTAGAGTCACAGAAGATGCACAGCAGAGTAGAAATGGAACTCAGAGATGACTTCAACAAAGTCCTTCATTTTACAAATGAGGAAACTGAGACACACAATGTATTTTGGCCAGTGTCCATTTGAGTCTCCTACTTGGGTGATCTGACTGGGGAAAAATGAAAGTCCTGGATGTTTGAGAAGTTCAAGTTCAAAGCCTGATTTGATTGGTTTTATTCTCAGAATACCACTTGGCCTGTTTTCTAGAGATGCAAATTTCTCGTGGGTTACAAAAAAAAAAAAAAATTGCACATAGGTGGGGCTCTCACCTCCATTTTTTCTTTTATTAGGGAAGGATCAAAGCCTCCTCCTACACATTAAAAACTCAACCATGTCATCCAGACATACCCTTTTCTTGGCTCCCCAGCTAGCTTAGCAGCTGCAAACATTCCTCCCATCCTTTTCTGTTTCCCTTTCTCACAGCATCAATTTAATTGACTTTTCTCTGAATCCCAAGCAACAAGAAGAAAGAGCCCTGTGACTTCATGGCCCATTTTGTTTTAAGCTATGTAAATTACTTAGGTCTAACTACTTGCTATGGTTTTGATGTTTGTCCTCTCCAAAACGTATTTTGAAACTTGGTCCCCAATGCTGCAGTGTTGGAACGTGGGGCCTAATGAAAGGAGACTGGGTTATGAGAGCATGGGCCTCATGAATGGATGGATGTCATTGTTATGGGAGTGGGTTCATTGTTATGGGAGTGGGTTCATTGTTGTGGGAGTGGGCTGATATAAAAGTGAGCCTGGCACCTCCTGCTTTCTGTCTTTTGCATGCACCTGCTTCTCCTTCTGCTGTTCTGCCATGTGATGACACAGTATGGAAGCCCTCACTAGAAGCTGCCACAATGTCCTTGGACATCCCACCCTACAGAAATGTGAGACAAATAAACTCCTTTTCTTTATAAATATCCAGTCTCAGGTATTCTGTTATAGCAACAGAAAACAGACTAAGACACCACCTTAGGAAAAATGATCTTTTTATAAGGCTTAGCCCAGGTTCCCAGGGAGTTCATTTGTTTGCAGTGGTACTGGGGTCAAAACTTCATGTACTATCAGTGTTACCTGGCCTTCTACTTTATAATCCTTATCTTCCTTCAGCAGCCACACCTAGAAAGAGTGAGCAGGATTTTGGCATTTCTGTTTCCCTGCTATAAAATACCAAGGTCAGCCAGGTACAGTGACTCACACCTGTAATCCCAGCACTTTGGGAAGCCGAGGTGGGTGGACTTGAGTCAGGAGTTCTAGACCAACCTGGCCAACATGGCAAAACCCCGTCCGTACTAAAAATACAAAAATTAGCGAGTTATGGTGGCATGCACTTGTAATCACAGCTACTAGGGAAGCTGAGGTAGGTAAATCACTTGAACCCAGGAAGCAGAGGTTGCAGAGAGCCAAGATCATATCACTGCACTCCAGCCAGGGCAACGGAGCAAGACTCCATCTCGAACAACAACCATCACCACCACAACAACAAAACAGGGCCCAGGGAGTTTAGGCTGGTAATATTAGCCACAAAAAGCTTACAATCTTAATTGCAAGAGAAGATCACACCCACCATCGTTAAAGGCAGTGTGAAACAACATAGGAATAAGTGCCTGATGGAGGATTAAAGGCAAGAAAGTATTGTTAAGGATGAAAAATATTTCCACATTTGTTCCTGAAACCTGTTTCCCAGGTTGGTTAATTGTGGTCACATCCCACTTGGCCTTGGGTGTGTGCTTATGTAAACCACAGAAACTGTTTCAATGACACTTGCTTTCCCTGTCTCTAAATGAGGAATAAAACCTGCCCTGCTGACTTATCAGAGGATCAGTTTGAGACAGAAACAAGATAAAGCATGAACAGTACTACCAAATTGGGGAGCCTTCATAGCTCACTTCTGTGACTGCTCCTAGGGCCCACTTTTAACTCTTATCAACTATTTTGCACCACTTTGACCTGAGCTTCTCAACAGGTCAGAAGCAAATACATATCTCACAGAGGAAGCAGGAAGAAGGCACACTACAGATAGAACTTTTATGAAGTGCCTCATGGTTTACAAACCACTTAAAGCTCACCATTTCTTTTGATTCTTACAAGAACTTTCTTTATGGAAGGAATCATTATCCTCTTTTCGTCTCCTAGATAAAAAGGTAAATTATTTAGCATGTAAATGATTTTCCCAAGGCTAATTTGGAGGAGACAGTAGAGCTGGGATTTTGATCTAGTTTTTTCTGAGTCAAATTCCTCTGATCATTCCTCAAAATCACTTTCATTTTGTCCCATCACATCTGAGCAGGCATCAGTGGCTTCAAAACACATGCCATGTCTTCTTACTTTCCTTGCCCCTTTCTTTCTTTCTTTCTTTCTTTCTTTCTTTCTTTCTTTCTTTCTTTCTTTCTTTCTTTCTTTCTTTCTTTTTCTTTCTCTCTCTCTCTCTTTCTCTCTTTCTCTTTCTTTCTCTTTCTTTCTTTCTCTTTCTCTCTTTCTCTCTTTCTTTCTCTTTCTTTCTTTCCCCTCCTTCCTTCCCTCCCTCCATCCCTCCCTCTCTTTTTCTTTCTTTTTCTTTTTTCTCTTTCTTTCCCTTCCTTCCTTCCTTCCTTCCTTCCTTCCTCTCTCTCTTTCTTTCTTTCTTTCTTTCTTTCTTTCTTTCTTTCTTTCTTTCTTTCTTTCTTTCTTTCTTTCTTTCTTTTCTTTCCCCTCCTTCCTTCCCTCCCTCCCTCCCTCCCTTCCTTCCTTCCTTCCTTCCTTCCTTCCTTCCTTCCTTCCTTCCTTCCTTCCTTCCTTCCTTCCTTCCTTCCTTCCTTTCTTCTTTCTTCTTTTTTATTATACTTTAAGTTCTAGGGTACATGTGCACAACGTGCAGGTTTGTTATGTATATATACATGTGCCATGTTGGTGTGCTGCACCCATTAAATCATCATTTACATTGGGTATATCTCCTAATGCTATCCCTCCCCACTCCCCCCACCCCACGACAGGACCCAGTGTGTGATGTTCCCCTTACTGTGTCCAAGTGTTCTCATTGTTCAGTTCCCACCTATGAGTGATAACATGCAGTGTTTGGTTTTCTGTTCTTGCGATAGTTTGCTGAGAATGATGGTTTCCAGGTGCATCCATGTCACTAGAGAACATGAACTCATCCTTTTTTATGGCTGCATAGTATTCCATGGTGTATATGTGCCACATTTTTTTAAATCCAGTCTGTCATCGATGGACATTTGGGTTGATTCCAAGTCTTTGCTATTGTGAATAGTGCCGCAATAAACATACGTGTGCATGTGTCTTTATAGCAGCATGATTTATAATCCTTTGGGTATATACCCAGTAATGGGATGGCTGGGTCAAATGGTATTTCTAGTTCTAGATCCTTGAGGAATCACCACACTGTCTTCCACAATGGTTGAACTAGTTTACAGTCCCACCAACAGTGTAAAAGTGTTCCTATTTCTCCATATCCTCTCCAGCACCTGTTGTTTCCTGACTTTTTAATCTGCTCAGTGAAATAAAAGAGGACACAAACAAATGGAAGAACATTCCATGCTCATAGAGAGGAAGAATCAATATCGTGAAAATGGCCATATTGCCCAAGGTAATTTATAGGTTCAATGCCATCCCCATTAAGCTACCAATGACTTTCTTCACAGAATTGGAAAAAACTACTTTAAAGTTCATATGGAACCAAAAAAGAGCCCGCATTGCCAAGACAATCCTAAACCAAAGGAACAAAGTTGGAGGCATCACACTACCTGACTTCAAACTATACTACAAGGCTACAGTAACCAAAACAGCATGGTACTGTACCAAAACAGAGATATAGACCAATGGAACAGAACAGAGCCCTCAGAAATAATACCACACATCTACAATCATCTGATCTTTGACAAACCTGACAAAAACAAGAAATGGGGAAAGGATTCCCTATTTAATAAATGGTGCTGGGAAAACTGGCTAGCCATATGTAGAAAGCTGAAACTGGATCCCTTCCTTACACCTTATACAAAAATTAATTCAAGATAGATTAGAGACTTAAATGTTAGACCGAAAACTATAAAAACCCTAGAAGAAAACTTAGGCAATACCATTCAGAACATCAGCATGGACAAGGACTTCGTGTCTAAAACACCAAAAGCAATGGCAACAAAAGCGAAAATTGACAATGGGATCTAATTAAACTAAAGAGCTTCTGCACAGCAAAAGAAACTACCATCAGAGTGAACAGGCAACCTACAGAATGGGAGAACATTTTTGCAATCTACTCATCTGACAAAGGGCTACTATCCAGAACCTACAAAGAGGTCAAACAAATTTACAAGAAAAAAACAAACGACCCCATCAAAAAGTGGGCAAAAGACATGAACAGACACTTCTCAAAAGAAGACATTTATGCAGCCAGCAGACACATGAAAAAATGCTCATTATCACTTGCCATCAGAGAAATGCAAATCAAAACCACAATGAGATACCATCTCACACCAGTTAGAATTGCAATCATTAAAAAGCCCCTTTCTTTCTTAGCAAAATCACACCCGAGGAACAGCGCAGAGGTGGTGACTGACTGGGGAAATAGTGATGCCCATTCTAAACTTCAGGCTCAGCTTCTCATTGTTTGGGGGCCTGAAGGTAAATTTTTGCACAAGGGAAGTGAAGAAAATAAACAGCTCAGTCCTGGCCAACTGTTCTCCGAGGCATGCCCGCTTTCCTGTAAGACAAAATCAAAAGATGGGTTATCTTCTCAGGTGGCATTTGTGCCTAGCAGAGATAGATGTCCTCAATCATATCCCAAAAAACTGGAGCAGAGGAAGGGCCTGTAGGCCCCAGGGTGTTATGGCCAGCAGCTTATTTAAGTCTGACAACCACTTGGGTTCATCAATGCATAGAAAGCAGAAGTCCAGGAACACAAAGTCAAATGCTGTCAGGGCTGACCTAGAAAGGGGGTGTTTAGCCTAAGAGCTTTAAAAAAAGAATTTAACAAACATGACAAAAAAAGACAACAAAAACAACCAAATATGTTAACTTTTTCAATCCCTACAAAAATTGTTGAAAATACAAGGAATTAAATGTCAGAGCAGAGTTCCTAAGGTATAAGTCATCTTTTCCCTGTGCCACTTTTCGTCCTTAATCATAGGGGCCTTCTGGCATGGGTGGCCCTCTATATTGTGACTGCTTTGGCCTTCGTCCTTCAGTGGTTCTTTTTATGCACAGTGGCTCTTTCCCTTTGCAGGCCCTTTCCCTTCCCATTTCTTCTAAAGTGTGATCCAAGGCTGGGTCCTGGTCTCCACAGCTGATACCTAACACTGTCCTGACCTCATCCCACTCCCTCTTATGTGTGCATGAACTGGAGGCAGAAGGACAGAGATTCAATTCAGCTTCTCCTACCTCTTAGCCACATGATTGGGGGCAAATTAACCTCTCTAGGCATCCGTGAAAATGTAAGTGTGCATATTAGTGAAAATGAATACGTGTTTAAGATGAGAACTTTATATACTGTGTGAGCTACATGCTGAATCCCAATAGGCCAAATAATTTAATAATTTATACCTCAAAACAAAGTATTTTAACATGTCACCTAGGTAATAATAAACAGCTGTACAATTGCTTATTATTAACTGGATCTGGTTAATTCTCAAAAAAACAGAAGAATGCAATTTAAAAGATGACCTTTAAAGAAAACCTTTTGGGTGGTAGCATTACTCAAACAGCTTTCTGTGTATTACAATTCTTTACTGTGATACTTTCCATAATGTACCTTTTATTCTGAAATAATTTCAAATGTACAAAAAACTTGGAGAGATAAGACAAAGAACCTGGCTCTCCTGAATTGTTTGGGAGTACATCGTCTACATTACCCATGAAATCTTCAGTATGTATTTTCTAAAAAGAAGGACATTCTCCAACATAATCAAAATGCAACCATCCAAGCCAGGAAATTAACACTGATGAATGACCAACATCTTCTCCTGAGGTCTCATTCAGGGTTACCAGCTGTCCCAATGTCCTTCATTAGAAAAGGGTCCAGTACAGCCAGTACAGGATCACGGTCTGCATTTAGCTGTCATGTCACCTTAGTTCTTCAGTCTGGAATAAGTCCTCACTCTTTATACAACTTTCATGGCACTGGCCTTTTTAAAGATTACAGACCAGCAGTTGTTTTGTAAATGCCTCTCATGCTGTCTCATGATTGGATTCAGGCTGTGAAGTTTTGCAGTTTTGGTAGGAATATCACCAAAGTGATACTGTGTTCTTCTCTTTTTATCCTAGCAAGTGCTGTACAATTTTGATGTGTGACATTATTGGTAATCACTTGATTAAGGTGGTGTCTGCCAAGTTCTCTTGTAAAATTATTCTTTTTCTCTGTAACTAATAAGTACTTCGAGACAATGTCAACAAACCATTCTCATTAAACTGTGATCCACTCTTTTCCACTGCTATTTCTTGACCATATTATTAATTGCTGATAGCTATCAAATTGTGATTTTTAAAATTCTGTCATTTCTTCCACATTTATTAGTTAGCACTCTACTAAAGGAAATGCTTGCTCCCCTCCCCATTTATTTATTCACTCATTTATTGATATCAGTTGGATTCATGGGATTCCTGTTTTTATTCAAAGGGTTATAATCTGTTACTATCATTACTTGTTCTGATGCTCAAAATATTCCAGATTTGACCATTAGACGCCCATTCAACCTGTCACTTCCTGACTTTTGGCACAACAATCTATTCCAGGTTGATCTTATACTTTCCCTTTCCCAGCCCTGGAATCAGTCATTTTTTTCCAAAAGTCCTGGTTTCTTTCAGTGGATAATAATATGTAGAAATCAAGATCTGGGCATTAGGCATGCTCATTGCTCTCCAGATATTGCTGCCCCTCGCTCATATCGGTGGCCAGAGCTAGGGAATATATGTATGTATATAATGTGGGTATATGTCCAAAACTGTGTGTGTATACATTATATATATATACATGCGCACACACACACACACACACCCATATTTAATCTACATTTCTATATTTATTGACTCATCTATTGAAAATCTGAGTTCATTATAGATTACCTCAGATTCCAATCCAACACCACAAAGTTTGATTTTCTCCCTTTCTTTATTTGCAACTTCCTCTCATTATCCTCAATATATTTATTTATTGGATCAGTATCCCTTGCATATAACTTACCCCTCATCACTGCCACAGCCACCCTGTGCAGATTCCACCTCATACCATTTGTGCTCTGAGACCAGCTCTCAGCTTCCACCACCCCCTCCCCTGTGTGAATGTCCTCCTCGCCCCACTTGGGCTACATTACCCTACACAAGTCACTACTGCCATTTCTATTGTGTGCATTTTTAATAGCTTACTTTCTCCCTAAGTAATACGTATTCACAGCAATAATTTAAAAAAGCATGACAAAGAAAAGTATAAAGTATAAAAAATGTTTGTAACCCCATAATCTAGACAAAACCATTGTCAACATTTTAACATATTTCTTCATTGTCCTTGTGGAGAGTCTTTGTACATCATAACAAATATGATTCCTTGTAGTCAATTCTATATGCTGCTTTTACTGCTTTGTATTTTCCCATGTAATTTAATATTCTTGGAAATGTATGCATGCCTAAGTTTTGTCCTCTGTCTGTAACAGGTTGTTAAGGAAGTAAAGTTAGATCATATATGCAAAAGTGCTTAGTAAAGGCAAACGTGCTTCATGGTTATGTCATTATTATATTATTTGTGCCTGTGTTTCCCACCATTGTGTGTCTAATTCATCTCTGTTCCCCTCACCTTTATCTCTTTATCCATCACAAATAGTACAATTAGCAACAGGTTAAAATGATACCAAATCAGTTTATTGTAAATATACCCAAGATTCTCCTAAAAGAATCCATATATCATGACAAACTGTACCTAGCAAGTCCGGAACCAGGATTAAAGAACTGGCTTCATCAGTAACCAACTGTGTGACTATTAGTAAACCATTCATTCTCGCAAACCTAAACTTATCTCATTTGTCAAATGCATGAAATAAATTCTCTCCTAACTATGTTGCATGGCTAGGCAAGGATCCCAATGTAATGGCAAGTATGAATTTGCTTTTAAAAGCATGAAAACTAGGACTGTTAGGTGTCAAACTTAACACCTTAATTCTTAATTCTTCCATGCCTGGAAGAAAGGAAACTTGGCTCCCATCCCTGGTGCTTCCACAAACTATCACTAACCAAACAGGCCAGTTACCTCAGTAGTAAAATGAGAGAATTGACCTACATTTTTGGCAAATTTCTTTCCAGCCCTATCTCCTAGAATCTAAAGATTTTAACTGGAAAGAGAGGAACTGGGTTCATGTATTTCATGAAGTTGCTTCCTGCTTTGATGGATCAAACAGGAAGCATTTAAATGAGGAAAAGTAAATATAAATTTGCAGTAAAACTTTGAAACCTGTCCTGATTATGCACACTTTAGAAGCTGTTACATCTTGTAAAGTGAGGACTTCGGAAGAGTCCTCTAGAAGACTCTTTACCAAGAGTAAAGGAACAGCAAGGAAAAGCAACTGTGTGCCAAGAGTGGGCATGTGATTAAAAAGACAGTTGTGTTGATGTTTTGTTAACCCTTTGGATTCTTCAGATTTCTATCTCCTGATCCATTTAACTGGTCCTCATCCTATCACATCTTCTGTGGGACATCCCAGATACATTGCTTGCCTTCTATGAATTTCATTCTTCTCAGAAAAAGAGATGGTAAGAACAAAGCAGCCTCAATTTCCCCCTCTTCTTGGATCCACATCATTTGTAATGTGATGTCATAGCTCTTCCCATTAAAAACTGTAGTAATATCCCCTCCCCTTAAACTGGGGCTGGCCTCATGACTGGCATTGGCCAACATAATGCAATGGAAGTGTCGGTTCCCAGTCCGGACCTTAAGAGGCCTGTGTACTTCCATTCTCCCTCTTTTGACCTTATCACCACCATGTGACTAAGCCAGGGCAGCTTGCTGGAGGATGAGGGATAATGTGAGAAGGGCATCACTGTCCCAAATGAAGATATCCTAGATCAGCCATCAGCCTGCTGACCTCTAGTCAAGATCAGAGAGACCAAGGGGGGGCCGAGCCAAGATTGGCAGAGCCACATATCTGACTTACAGACTTGTGAGCAATAATTCATGCTTACTGTTTTAAGCTGCAGAGTTTTGAACTGTTTGTTATGTAGCAATATGCTAACTGATGCATGTGTTATGAAATTAGTGAATCTTAAAGTAGAGAGGACTTTAAGTAAGCTACATTCTAGTCTTACTAGAGAGAACACTAGACTAGAAGTATAAAAACTTGAGTTTTAGGTCCTGTTCTGCAAATTCCTTGAGCATATGATCTTGGATAAGAAACAACTCTCTCTTATTTTTAGTTATCTTAAATTAAAAAGAGATCCCAATCCATTTCCTGCCTATTAATAACTGGGCTGTTGTAAGGATTAAATTAGACAATTTTCTTGCAAATGAAGTCTCTAAGAGGGTGCAATACAACTCTCAATAGCAAAGCAGCAGTGAGTCACTGCGTATAGTTTTTAAAAAGACTACTGCTAATTCAGATAAGATAATTTTTTAAAAACAGGAGACATGAAGCAACTCTGAGAAAGAGGCTTGTGATATGAAGAAAAGATATCCAGGCATCGCTTAGCCCAGACTATCCTTTTTCCTTTTAAAGCCATGGCCTTCTAGTAAGATTCCTCTCATCACAGTTGCAGATGACATGAGGTGAAGCATTTTTGTGGAATGCAGAGAAGGTCACATTTCTAGCATTTCCACATGGATGTTGTGCAAGAGTCAAAGAACAGGAATAATTAATTATAATAATTGGAACATAATAGCTGAAACTTTGTGCTATAATACAAAATTTGAAACTATCGTAGACAGGAAGACTGGAAGATATTCCTACATCTTATATCAGCTTTCACATTCGAAGTGAATTGTCCAATGTGAGCAGAGGTGACAGAATCAGATGAAGAAAGACAAAGACAGCATTGATCGTCAGAATCAGCCCAGAGACATCTAAGGCAAGACAGCACAGTGGGAGAGCATGGGCTTCGGAGTCATACCAACATGGGTCATTCTGTTTCTGTCCTTTCTGAGCCTTAGGGTCATCCTCAGCAAAATGATGTTGTCTCAGAACATCAATACGTATTTTAAATTAACAATAAGAAAACTATCATACATTCCACAGGGTAAGTCTGTGTAGCATTTATTTTCAGTAGAGAGTGTTAGGAAGAAAGCACATTTTAGTTTTTGATAAATGCGATCGACACTGATCCTAGCTCTGCCACGTGAGTTTTATGACTTCAGTTTCTTTACTGGGTTAAGCTTCAGCTTCCTCATCACTAAAAAGTGGTTACAGTAACATAAACTTTATATGATTACACTAGAACATATGCACCATGGGAGCAGTTTTGTTTTGTTTTGTTTTCTGTTTCACTCATTCATTGTAATATCACCAGGGCTGAATGCTTGACACATAATAGATGCTCAGTAAATACTGATGGAACTAAAGAATTGTGAAATTATTTGAAATAAACTATGCAACATATCTAACTCAAAACCTGGAACATACTAAGAATTTTTGTTATTGATTTTTCAATGTCATGAGTTAAAAATATATTTTTGGACCTGGTTATCTTAAAAACAGGAGAAAAAAGAGAGTTTTCACTGCCTCTTCTTTCTTAATTTTCAAGTTACACATTATATAAATGTATTAATTAGATTTTAAAAAATGAATTAAAATTACAAAGGCCAAAGAACCTTTTCGAGGGCGTACTTAGAGAGTAGAATCCAATCTAGTGAAGCCACTGACTGATGCACATGTGGCAAATAAGTTTCTCCTTCCCCTTGTCCCTCTCTATCTCCTTATTATAGATCAGCTCTATTTCTCTGTGAGTGGGCAGTCCTTAAAAAGAACTGAGGACATTTTAGAATTTAGTAAAGATGGCAGCACTCCACCGGGTGCAGTGGCTCATGCCTGTAATCCCAACACTTTGGGAGGCCGAGGTGGGTGGATCACCTGAGGTCAGGACTTCGAGACCAGCCTGGCCAACATGGTGAAACCTTGTCTCTACTAAAAATACAAAAAATTAGCCTGGCATGGTGGCGCATGCCTGTAATCCCAGCTACTTGGGAGGCTGAGGCAGGAGAATCACTTGAACATGAGAGACAGAGTTGTAGTGAGCTGAGATCACGCCATCGCATTCCAGCCTTGAGCAACAAGAGTGAAACTACGTCTCAAAAAAACAAAAAACAAAAAGCAAACAAACAAAAAGCAGCACCCAATCCTCTTTGTGAGCTGGAAGTGGAGTCTGGGTCTCTGTCCCCAGTGTTCCAGAGGACAGAACACAGGAAAGCTGAAATCTCCAGCAGAGGCAATGGAGGGCTTAGGAAATAAGGGCAGGCTGAAGCAACGCCCAGCCCTGGAAATCCCAGGGCTGACCCCTACAGCAAGATGGAGTGAGTTGCACTGGCCAGGCTGTCTGGAGATGTTCCAATGAAAGCAAGGGAATACAGGGAGAGAGCAGGGGAGCGTTGGGAGAGGGGCCCTGGACTCCCATATGCCTGTTTATTACAACTTACCTATTGAGAAGGGTAGAAAGGCTTCTCTTTTCTTAAACTGTCCATTCTCCAGAAAATGCTCTGGATTGAACGTGTCAGGGGTGGCCCACTCTGTGGGGTCCCTGTGCAGCGCCGTCAAATTGGTCAGGATCATGGTCCCCTAGAGAAAGCAGCAGAGACTCAGGCAAGGCTTGACCCATGAAAAAGCACACCAATGCAGAGGGTGGTCATCCTCGGGCTTCCATGCCGGAGGCTGAACATACTCTGAACTGCCCCACCCTCCCCAACTGCGGTACACGGTCTCCTGTGTCCCCCAACCCAGGACCCTCCTCTTTGTCTGGGACAGCCTACAAATTAGATTGGATTTCCCTGCTGGGAATTTTAACAGGGATGTTTGGCTACTCTTGAGTGCAGGATGGATCTTCCTTACAGGGACAGGTCAGTTTAGGTAGGTCTCGGAGGGAGGGGACATGAATACACTGATGAGAGAATAATCCAACAGTCAGTCTGCAGTGTACCAAAACCAACCCAGCTGCTCAGTGAAGCTATAACGATGGCGGCTCTACAAAGGTAAAAGACATCTCATTCATCTTGGCTTCGCCATTCTCTTTCCTCCAATGTCTAGTACACGGTACCCCACTCCCCACAGTAGGTTTAGTAATAGAATCAGGCAGACCCATGAAAGGAGCCCCTGTCCACCCAGGTATATATTAAGAAACACAGGAGTTCCCAGAGGGAGCTTTTCCTTTACTCTGCCTTTATCCAACCCATCAACGAGATTGGTCAATGTTACTTTCACCTCCATTCCATGTCCACCATGCCCACTTAGTCCAGACTTCTTTCCGGCTTGCCTGGACCCCTGTTACAGTTTCCTAACTATACCCCAAATCCTGTCGCCCCTTTCAATCTGCTTCAGACTCTGGAAGAGAGTGAGCTTCCAGCATGATTTAGTCATGTCACTCCCCACTCCCACAGCCTCCACTGCTCATACCTAGGACTTGACACACTTCAGTAGTTACCCATTGCTCTCAGGGCAAAGACTCATCACCTGGTCCCAGTCTGGGCCACTCTCCCCCTTTGCCTGCACTCCCACTACAGGGCTCTTCTTTCAGTTTCTCAAACATGCCGTGTTCCTACTTAGTTCAATACCCTTTTTAAATACTACTTGCCTTGCCAGGAATGTTCTTCTTCCCCACTTTGTCATCAAGCTAACTCTTAATGATCCATTAATCCTCAAACATCACTTGCTTTTGGAAGCCTTCCCTGACCACTCCTGCTAGTCTGTGTTTTTAAAGACCACAGTGAGTTTTTTCCTTTGGGCAGTTATCATGTTTCTAAATATGTACTTGCACGATTAATTTTCTCAGGGTTGTTTTGCCAGACCTGAGCATTTCAGGTATGTAGTGTTTGTTGAATTCATTCAAATATTAACATATTAATATAATATTAATTCAAGGACTTTAAATCATTAATTTTCAATATTAGTATAACTATTTCTTTCTTTCTTTTTCTTTTTTTTTTTTTTTTTGAGACGGAGTCTAGCTCTGTCGCCCAGGCTGGAGTGCAATGGCGCAATCTCAGCTCACTCACTGCAAGCTCCATCTCCCCAGTTCAGGCCATTCTCTGCCTCAGCCTCCTGAGTAGCTGGGACTACAGGCATCACCACCACACCCAGCTAATTTTTTTGAATTTTTAGTAGAGATGGGGTTTCACTGTGTTAGCCAGGATAGTCTCGGTCTCCTATCTCGTGATCCGCCTGCCTTGGCCTCCCAAAGTGCTGAGATTACAGGCATGAGCCACTGTGCTCAGCCTTTTTTTTTTTTTTGGAGACAGAATCTCACTCTGTCACCGAGGCTGGAGTACAGTGGCACTGTGTCGGCTCACTGCAATCTCCGTCTCCTGGGTTCAAGCAATTCTCCTGCCTCAGCCTCCCAAGTAGCTGGGATTACAAGCACCCACCACCATACCTAGCTAGTTTTTATATGTTTAGTAGAGATGGGTTTCACCATGTTGGCCAGGCTGGTCTTGCTCCTGACCTCAGGTGATTCACCTGCCTCAGCCTCCCAAAGTGCTGGGATTATAGGCGTGAGCCACCACACCCAGCCAATAACTGCTATTTTAAGCACTTTCTGTACTAAGTACTAAGTTAAATACCCTACATGCATGATCTCATTTTACCTCCACGTGGATCTTGTAAAGTAGGTTTAAATGCATTTTTTCAGATGAAGAAATTGAAGCTATGAGAGGTAAAATAATGGGCCCAGAGTCAGACAGTGGGAAGAGGCAGAGCCATGATTTGAACCAGGTCTATTTGATGTCAAAGACATAGCTTGTAGACTGTGTAACACACGGTTATTTCAATTTGTCAGTTCCCAAGATGATTATTAAAGCTGACAAAAATCAGTGGCAGAAGTCTGTTGAGCCGAGCTGGTTTCCTTGAGTTAAATAAATTGCTAGAAAAATGCAAACAGCACCTGGGGAATTTAGACCTCAGCCTTTATCCACTAGATGGCCAATCAGTAAGGAAATAGCAAATGTAACAGCTGCTTTTCCTGGCTCTGCAGGGATAGTAACCAAGCAATGTCCAATGGGTAAGCTCTTCTGATTCTACTTCTTGAGATTTTCCCCAGGTATAACACACTCAGAGGTACTTAGACAAACTGGAATAGATTCACAGAGGCTGACCAAAGTGGTTAGAAAGCAAGGAAAGGAACTGAAAACATGCAATGTGGGGAGAGGGCACTAGAGGGCACATGATAGCTGTCTGTAGAGATCCTAAGCATGGCGGGTGGAGTGACATCAGAATTCTGTTTGTTGCAGAAGCAGAAAATGAAATACTGCATGTTCTTACTTATAAGGGTAGCTAAACATTGGATAGACACGTACATAAAGATAGGAACAATAGACACTGGAGACTACTGGAGGAGAGAGGGGAGCAAGGGTTGAAAAACTACCAACTGGATACTATGCCAGTCACCTGGGTAATGGTTCAATCATACTCCAAACTTCAGCATCATGAAATGTACCCTTGTAACAAACTTACACATATACTGCCTGAATCTAATACAAAAGTTGAAAGAAAAAGAAAGAAAGAGTTCCACTTGTGAGTACAGGGAATCTAACCGAGAGCAAATGAAAAAATAACAGGGAGACGCTTTTAAAGTGGACGCAAAGCACCTCCTATGAAGGGAGAATGGTGTCATACAAAAAAACAAAACAAATCTGCTTCCAGATCCCAACTCTTCATAGTTGAGAGATCTCATGCAAACCTAATTTTTCTGAGCCTCTACTTCTCAATCCATAACATGGAAATAACAAGCTTCTTTTGAATAAACTTACTCTGAGAATTGAGTAAGACATTTTGAAAGAGGCCACATTGTTCACAACACATAATCATTGCTTAATACATGTTCACGCCTTTCTTTCCCTTTCCAGTAATGAATATTGCACATGCTTAGATTGGCTTCCTTATAAGATAATAAATTATACATCTGCTGGACGTGGTGGCTCACACGTGTAATCCCAGCACTTTAGGAGGCCGAGGCGGGTGGATCATGATGTCAAGAGATCGAGACCATCCTAACCAGCCAACATGGTAAAACCCCATCTCTACTAAAAATACAAAAATTTGCTGGACATAGTGGTGCATGCCTGTAGTCCCAGCTACTTGGGAGCAACAGAGCGAAACTCTGTGTCAAATAAATAAATAAATAAATAAATTAATTAATAATACATCACAGGACTATAAGAAAAAACTGGAAAAATGCCTGTGGGGATATTATGTTAAAAACACCAGCATTAAATGTGGTGTTGTCCCAGGTGGTCTTAAATGTCCTTTCACACTTCAGCATTCTAGAACCCCAGGATCATGAAGCAGAATTTCTCAAAGTTTGGCAGATCCCTAGTCTGGTGAGATGTTCTACCAAAACAAAGAAAATTGTTCTGTGATAAAGTCTGACCTAGAACTGCTGCCTGTCGCCTGCCCGCAGACTCACAATGCACATTAGCATGGTCAAAACACTGAGAAGCACCACAGGAAAGAAACGCCAGTCTTTATCTAAACATATTTAACGTAGGAATCCTTCCTGCTCCCCTCCCCACAATACCTATTTATATCTAGCTGACACATGGAGAAAATCTAGTATCATATCAGGTATAAGATATCTTTCTCTTCCATTTAAATGACTCCTCAGGACAAGAATAAATGTCACTTCTCAAGTTCAGGTTTTCACCCCATCTAAAAGATGGGCTTGAAGATGTGGGGCTAAGCATGCTTAGTTACCTTGGGCAGGTGGTACCCAGCCAAAGTAGTATCAACTGTCGCTTCCCTGGGAACGTTCAGGGGGACGATGTTGCCCATCCTCTGCACCTCATGGATGACGGCATTGGTGTAGGGCATGGACTCCCGGGCGGCTGTGCTCGGCTGCTGCCCCTGGCCGATCACTCTGTCAATCTCAGCTTGTACTTTTTCTGGTAAAGAGGGAAGGGTTCTATTATTTTTTAAGCTTTTATGCTTTATTATAAAGAGGTATGAGTGGTCTCCAAGATCTCATCTGTTGTATTTAAATTACTGACCAGGTTGCAAGAAATAAAATGGTTTGTAACTTTTTGAAAGGCTTATTCAGAAAACTACCAACTCTGTAAATCTCCTTGAGCCTGGTTAGGCTATGGGATGGAATGACCAGGATTAACATGGCTAAACTCCATCATATCAGACCCCAGCAGCCTTGGTGTCTGGTGAAGACCCACTTTCTGGTATACAAATGGCACTTTCTCACTGTGTCCTTACATAGTAGAAGGAATGAGGCAGCTCTCTGGAGTCTCTTTCATAACAGTATTACTCCCATTCCTGAAGGCTAATCACCTCCCAAAGGCCCCACCTCCTAATATCATCACACTGGGAATGAGCTTTCAACATATACATTAGGGCTGGGGTGGGCCCAAATATTCAACCCTTAGCAGATCTACAGACTCTAATTTCTCAGGTAGACACGTAAGAGTGGAAAGCGGGCCCTGAGGTAAGACCCATCGGATTGCAAACTTGCTCTACAACATTGATGCCTCAAGTTACTTACACTCTTTAAATCTCAGTTTCCTTATTTGATGAGGGAGGATAAATCTACCTTCATCTTAAGGATGTTTTGAGATTTACATGAACTGATGTTTTGAGATTTGTGTGACCAGATAGGACTGCTACCAGTTTCTTTCGCTGGTTGAGTGCTCACCTAGCCAGTGAGAGAAACTGCAGCAGTCTTACCTCTTTTCTCTTTTTCTAGAGTAATAGAGATTTTAGCTGGAGACCTGACTGCCCAGCTAAAGAATATATTTTCCAGGTCCTATTGTAACTGAGTGTGACCATATGACTAAATTCTGACTAATAGAATGTAAGCAGAAGTGATGTTTAATCCTTGGAACAAGTTCTTAAAGAAAGGATATGTGCTCCCTTCCCCCTTTCGCTTCCTACTGGAGGAAAGCCTATTGGTGAGCTGTCTTAGTGCTAACAAGAGCATCATTCTAATCACAACAGAGCAACAAGTTGGAAGGAGTTGGGAACCCTAATGACTTTGCAAAGCCTAGTTTGGATTTTTTTTTTTTTTTACCTGAAAGTGAAATAAATTATAATTTTTGAAAAACATTTTATTTGTGGGTAAAATACCCACAACATAAAATTTACTATGTTAGCATTTTTAAATGAACAGTTCAGTAGTATTCAATATATTCACACTGTTGGGCAATCACTCTCCAGAACTTGCTTGTGTGTTTGTTACTAGCCTTTTTAACTGAGTTAAAAAAGCACTGTATGATTCCACTTACATGAGTTATCAAGAATAGTGAAATGCCTAGAGACACAAAGTAGAATGGTGGTGGCCAGAGGCTGAGGGAGGAGATATAGAGCTTTAATTTATCTCCTCCCTCAGCCTCTGGCCACCACCATTCTACTTTGTGTCTCTAGGCATTTCACTATTCTTGATAACTCATGTAAGTGGAATCATACAGTGCTTGTGTGTTTGTTACTAGCCTTTTTAACTGAGCATGACCCTGGATGCATATACCTAAATACACACATATAAAGCATACATTATGCAGATACAGATGAAAAAATAAAGTTCTGTAAACAAACTTACCTTAGTACATGGGAAGCACTCTGATCTTTTCTATTTTTATCTTAAGAAAAAAAGTTGGTCTGGATCCACTAAATTGATTTTATGACTCATTAATAAATGGTTACCCACAATTCGAAAAACTGTATTGTTAAGCATTCCCATCCCCCATATGTTCAAACTGTTCTGGAAGCTGGAGGAAGAAAAATGATGTGAACATCATTCTTGAGTGGACTATAGTCTGTGGGAAAGCTATAGAAATAATACATGATAAGCCTAGTAACAAAGGCACATTACATCATCTCTGGAGGGAGAAAATGTTAATAATTTCCTAGGGGAGTGCAGAAACATCTTAGAGAGGTAGTATTTGAACAGATTCTTCAAGAAGAGCTAGGAGTTTACTATGTAGGAAAACTGGGCAAGTAGAGGGAAAAGCATATATCATGACATAGAGCCATAAATACAGACTACAAAGAAAATGACGTGTCACTTAGTGAGGCCACCATGGAGGGTAGGTGGGGCCAAGGCTAGACAGGCAGAAGGGGCATATCGGAGGGTGACATATACCAGACTAAGGTGTTTGAACATTATTCAGGGAGAAATGGGAAGGTATCACTTAAAAGAAGGGAAGACACAACTAGACTTTCACATCAGAAAGTAACTGTTTCCTGGAACTATCTCAATGTCGATTGACTTCATGGATTTCCCTCTTGCCTCTGAGCTTCTTGAGGACAGGGATTCTCTCTCACATTTGTATTACCTGGGCCCATCACAGTTCAGACAGAATATGTGAAGAATGTGCAATTTCCAAGACCTCATCACTCATGACTGTTCTGCCTCTTTTCATCCTACAATGAGATCTTCCGGCTCTGACTTCAGGCGGCACGTCCCAGGAGGCACTATTCTGTCCTGGTCCAGGCTCACTCACTGACATGCTCACCTTGGATTTCTGGGTAGAGGGCCATATAAAGCAGAGCCCATCGCAGAGTCGTAGAAGTTGTCTCGGTTCCGGCAAAGAAGAGGTCCAGAGTGCTGCAGATGAGGTTTTCTTCATGGAAACTTGAAGTAGAATTGCCTGTGTGCTAGAAAAGACAACGTTTAATGTTATTTATTGGTTTATTCAGAGGATTCCTGATTGCTGTAACACACAGGGGCTTCATCCTAGGAGGAAATTTGGAAGAAAAGGTCCCCAAAAGAAACAGTTTTCCCTTTGGCCTCTTCAGAAGGCAGACTTTTATTACAGCAATATCGTTAGCACTGTCCTGCCCCAAGTGCTGGACACCTTTGGATGGATGAAAATCAAGACAATTGTTTTCTTTTGCCTGTAATTTGGGGGAAGCTTTTAGTACAGTGAAAGGAGAATGGGATGTGAATAAGACAGATCTGGCTTCCAATATTAACCACTTCAATTAGCAGCTGTATGACCTGGGGCAAGTTACTTAACCTCTCTGTTCTTCAGTTTCCCATTTTATACACTGGAAATAGGAGTGCACACCCCTTAAGAGGGCATTATGATTTACATGAATGCAAGGACGCATAGCAAATACTTGACAAATGTTTGTACTGATAACAGAAAAGACAAATGGAATTCCTCTTGTGAACAACAATTCTTATATCTCCTCATTCATCTTTTCCTTTCCAATTTGAACCTCACTGATTCTAACAAGCATTCCTCATGATACTGTCATCTTTAACATCAGCTTCTGGAAACTTCAATTTGTCCAATGTTGCTCTTGATGTTAATGGTCCCTTCCTTACCTGCACAACATATAGCGAATCTCCTCCTCTGAGATGAAAACAATACTTCTATAAATGTCATGCCAATAAGGTTAAATAAGAGGGAAAGAAATCCACCATTCTTTCCAATCCAGAAGGAGAATTGGATGTATAAAGATGACAGTATTGACACAGAGATACATGTTAACCAGAGGGGTAACTGTGTTCAAGGTCATGCATCCAATTTGGTTTCCTCTTTACTTCTGGCCTGTAATGTTGGAAAGTGAAAGGTACAAGACAGAAGGAAAGGCAAAAGCCCAACTCAGGCCTTAATAAAGTTGGCCTTTAAACTCTGGCATCCAACTCAGCTTTACTTGTATTCTCTATGGGGGCTGAGAAAAGAGTATAGGTTACTGGGTCCAGGCCCAACTAATGATAGAACAGAGCTTTGAGGATTAACTGCTATGTTCCCCCTTTGTGTATACCTCCAAATAACAGTAGAGGGTAGGGGATGGGGGATGAAAGGGCAGTATTGGGGCATTCACAGGACCTCAAACCAAATGCCATTAACCCCCATCTTTATCTCTAATTGCATCATCAATACTGAGTTAATGTTACTCTACATTTTCTGAAATATTGCCCTTATTTTTACTCCTGTAGCAGGCTGAATAATGACCCACAAAGATGCCCATCCACATCCTAATGTCTGGAATCTAGGGATGTTACTTTATAGGGAAAAAGGAACTTTGCAGATGTGGTTAAGGATTTTGAGATGGGCAGATTATCCTGGAACATCCCAGTGGGCCCAGTGTTATCATAATAGTCTTTATTAGAGGGAAATAAGAGGGACAAAGTCAGAGAAAGGATGCCAGGATGGAAGCAGATACCAGAGAGAAGAGAAGATGCTGTGCTTCTGGCTTTGAAGATGAAGGAGGTGGCCACAAGCCAAGGGATATAGGCAGCTCCTAGAAGTTGGGAAAGTAATAGAAACAGATTCTCCTCCAGCACCTCCAAAGAGAGCCAGCCTAGCCAAAACCTTACCTGTAACTCAGTGACGCTGATTTCATACTTCTGACATCTAGAACTGTGAGAGAATGAATCTGTGCTATTTTAGGCACCAAGTTTGTGATCATTTGTTATAGCAGCAGCTGGAAACTAATACACCCCTATTTGTGCTGTAAGAAAAAAATACAAAATGACTTTGGTTTTCTCACCTTTGACATTTCTTTGAGGTAAGCATCAATAAAGTCTCTTGTTTCTGCAGGATTCCAATCCTTCCTGTGTTTTTCAATCATATGAGAAACAAACAATTTCAGTTTTTCCCAGTTGCTGAAAAGAGTTTGGTGGGGTCCAGGCAGGAATTTCATTAGCCATGGAAAGATATTATAGAGCTAATTGAGAAAAACAAAACAATCATGCAGATAACATTGTGCCTTTTTTTCACTTTTTAAGACAACGGAAACCATCTTCTCTTTCTATCGCTTTTATTTGCTCACACTTAAACCTTGGTTATCCTTGACCCCTCTTTTCTCTCTCACCCCTCTAGTGAAACAGTTCAGCTCTCTGTCAAAAATATATCCAGCCTCAGACCACTTGTCACCACTCCAACAGCTTGCCACCAAAAAAAAAATACGTATGAGACATCTGGGGACATCTGAGCACTGGCTGAGTGTTTGAAGGCATTAAATAACTATTGTTCATATTTTTCAGGCACGAAGGTATTTTATTTTTGTTAAAATGGATCTTTTTATAAATATATGCTGAAATATTTATGTATCAAATAATTGAGGTCTATAATTTGCTCCAAAATAATTCAGGGACAGTGGGGATGTGGTAGTAGGGCACAGATGCAGACACAGTGAGAATGGCCACGTGCTGATAATTGTTAGAGCTCATTGACGAGTACACAGTGATTCATGATTGTATTCTTTTATGTACATTTGTAATTTTCAAAAATAGAGTCTTTTTTAAACAAAGGAAATTTTTTAAAATTTTGATAATGGCACACTGCATAATTCAAGGGCACTCTTTCTATTGAGAACACCAAGAAAAGATACATGTGTATGCATTTAAGCACACATATATACAAACCAAGATAGTGAGGAAGTTTCCAGGATAAGGCTTAGGGGAAGAAGAAAGCCCAGGGTATGAACTCAATACTTGGGGTCATCTTCTCCCCCCGCCCCCCAGCTCCCAGAAATGTCTTCCAAATTCAGAAAAGTGACAGAGGAACCAAGAAACTGAGCAGAGTTTTTGACAAAGACTCAAAGGCTTATATGGACAAAAATTGGGGTGCAGGGCCCACCAAGGGAGGAATGAGTTTGAACCCCAAACAGCTACATTCTATGGAATTAGAAGATTGATGATATTAAGTGCTGATGGGCAGACAAATAATGCAATGAGCTTGGCAATCTTTAAACATCTTTTATCTCCAGATACATATATAAAAAATGAGTGGATGTAACCACAAGAACACTTGTACAAGAATGTTCATGGCAGGTTTATTCATAGCATCCAAAACTTGGAAACAACTTAAATGTCCGTCAGTACAGAACAGACTGACAAAAAGTGGCACATTCATACAATGAGATACTAATCTGCATTAAAAAAGAGCAACCAACACAGATGAATCTCAAAGCAACTTGCTGAGGAAGAAAGCGGATACAGAAGAGAACCTCTGAGGGAGGAGGGAAATGGACAAGTTGGGGAAGGACACAGCGAGGAGAGACTCAAGGGCAACAGCAATATTGTTGTTCTTTTTAAAAAGAACAATATAGATGGATAGGCGTATGTCATATAACATGTTGCACCTTACATGCATGTTAGAAATGGTTTTTGCATATAAATATTTCATATTATTTAAAAAACTAAAGTCAACAGACTGATTTCAAATAAGTTTGTGTTGAAATCAGTTTTGAAAGGTTATATTTTAGCTTCAAAAACCCACAAAAAACTAAAAGGAAAAACCCATATGTGTCTGACATTGTCCCCAATTTGCTGAACCAAGATGAGGCTTACCTGGCACGTTTTTGAAGCCTCCAAGTATGTGACTTCATCCAATAACTTCAGCAGCTCCTGAAACTGACTATCCTGGTAATCAAAGCGTTCTCCAAAGGTGATGGAGCAAATGATATTGGAAACTGCATTGTTTATCTTGAAGTGAGGGTCAAAAGGCTGTCCTGAAGGTGGAGGAAGGGCAAGATGGATCCTTCTGATGGATTTGTCTCCATTTCCTACTAAGAGTCTACTCTATATGGCATAAGACATACCTAGTGCAGAACCATATATGCGGCTCTGGCCACATGACCTTACACTGCGTCTGACATACAACTAGTATTCAGTCAACTCCAGGGAAGTCAAACTGTGGACCAGGGCTTAAATTCAGTAATGTGTTTAGTGCCCATCTTTGCGTATTTACTTCTAAAACTCTTTGAGGACAGAGTCGTGGTTAAGTTGTTCACTGTTCTATCTTCCATTCCTAGCACACTGCTGGGCATAGAACAAGTACTTACTCACTTAGTAAGTATCTGTCCAATGAACAAATGGGCCACAGTCTCTCACATTTGTCGTACGCAATGCTCACCGTTCTCCTCTTTTATTGCTTCAGTGAGGTGTTGGGCCTCCTCCTGAATGCGTTCCTCTAAGCTCTTCTTTCCTAAACCAAAGTTCCTTAGTGCTGTCAGAGTAAACCGTCTTTGCTCCTTCCATATCTGGCCACTTGACATAATCAATCCTGGGAAAAAGAAAGTCAACATTACAGTATTCTGATTCCATAATGTGAATATCTCGCAAATGATACGGGGATGTGTATCAGATGAAGGACAGGAGAAGATCATTAAGGCACTTGAAAACTGCCCAGAGAAATAATCCCAAAGCAATGGATAAAATGGCTAATATTTACTGATTGCTTGCAATGTCAGGCACTTTAATATGTATTTTGTTGTGCATTACATAATTTAGTACTCATAGAAACTCTTTGGGATAGGTACAATTATTACCACTCCTCACCCACTCATTTTGCTCATGAAAAAACTGAGGAACAAGGGATAAAGGATAAAATACACTTTACAAGGTCTCACAGTAAGTAAGCAACTAAACAGGTGTTCAATTTCAGGTCTGCCTGATTCCAAATCCCATGCTTTGATTATTAGTTACATAAGTGAAGTATTTATGTTATGCTAAAGACTAGGAATGCACTAATGGATAAGACAATATCTATACTCTTAAAGAGGCTAAGAAAGGCTTTATAGGAGAGGTCCTATCTAACCCGGACATTAAAAGATGACGTAAGGAATCAAGAGATCAAGGAGGAGTGAATGTTCCATGCAGAAAGAAGAGTACAAGCAAAGAAAAAAAATTTTGGTGGGCTTAACAGACCATCATTTGTTTTATAACACAGGTAATGCCACATTCCTTTCAATTTCAATTCCAGAGCACTCCTCAACACCTTTTAATATCTGACTATGGCCTTCTCACTCACTGAATTGGTCTGCCTCGTTGTCATATGCAGGGATACCTTTTGACCTCGTCTTACTTGCAGCTGCAGTAGACGCTTCTTTCTTGAAATACTGCCTTCCAGTGGTGCTCAGGATACCATTGTCTCCAGATTTTCTTCCTAATTCTCTGCCAGCAATTTCCTATGTCTTTTGCTGGTTCATATTCCATTAGATCTTGAAATGCTGGAGTTCTTCAGGAACTTCTTCATCTAAAACTTCTGTTTCTCACCCTATACTCTATTTCTGGTAAATCTTATCAACTCCTAAAATTTTAAATAACATCTATTGATAGTGACCATCTATTTCTGTCCCTGAGCTCCAGAATCTTATATACAACACTGCCTCCTTGACTTTGCTGATTTAAAGGCATTTTGAATTCTGCATATCCATGACTGAACTCACAATTTTCTCCATATGACTTTTCACCCATGCCCAACTAAACCAAATACCTTGTACTAAGTGTTCCTTTTCTCCATCATATACCCATCTGAGTGTCACCTCAACACCTCCTTCTCCCTGCACCTATGTCATCAGGTCTTAAGAGGTGTACTTCCTGGATATCTCAAATCCAGGTCTTCCCTGCTGTTATCTTGGTGTAACCTACTGTTATTTCCCTACTGTTATTGGACCTCCCTAGCCTGAGCTACCACTGTCTGTAACCTAAAATGCTACAAAAGTTTCTTGCTCCTTTTCTTCTATTCTCTGAATAGCAGCCTAAATAAAACCTAAAAATGTACAGTGTAAGTATAGTTCCCTTCTCTACTTAAAGCCATTCAAGAGCTTCCATTAATGTTAGGATAAAAACTAATATCCTTAACAGGAACTTGCACGAACTATTCCTGGCCAAGCTCAGTAGTTTCATCTCCCTTTAATTATCTCCTTTTAATCCCCATCCTTGTCATATTGGCCACCTTTCATTTCTCAAGTTCCCTGTCCTTTTCATGTCAGGGACTTTTCATATTCTTTTCTGTCTGCCAGATTGTTTCACCAGTTTATTAAATGAATATTTACTTACTTTTTCTGCATCCCAGGACTGCATTAATAAGTACATCCTGCACTCGACTTCAAAACACTGTAGACTTCTAACTATTATAGTTAATTGATACTATTTTTTCTCTCTGCATAGAATATAAACTACATAGGATATGGATTTTATCTATTCTTCTCACTGTTACATCACTCATGCCTAGTACTGTGCTTCACAAGGCAGATAATACAGTGAACGGATATAGAATTAATTGAGGACCTATTTCAAAGAATTGAGAAGCACCTAAAAGTGGTGCTTTGATAGAGTGATAGATTTGAGATTGTCATTTCAATTTTTAAATGTTTCCATATATTTAATGGTAATTTTAAGTGTTCATGCCAATCTGTTCTATCATAGACCAGAAGGCTCAAGATCCTCTGTGTGGCACAACCTTAATGAAAGAGAATAAGGAACTAGAGACAGGAAGAAGCAGCAACAGAATGAGGAAGATCCACATCCATTTTCCTAAGGGGAGAGGGTTGGAAGAGGAAAACAGAGAGAACACGTTCCTCTGCTATAAATGGGTAATGTGGTTACTTCATTAGAAAAGCATCCACAGTAGGTTTGGGCAGGGCATGTGGCTTCTCCCAAATCCCAGTGAGGGATGATCTTATCAAATCTTCTGAGGGAGTGACTTCAGTCAGGAAATGTGAATACCCAGCTTCCTTTAGTGGCAGGAAGTTTACTGTGGGGCTGGTTTCTAGGAGTGTTGTAAAATTATAGCCACCAAGGCGCCTTTAGCAGACTATAGGACTATCAACATCAAACACTCACCTTTCGTTGGCCAAGAAACTTACCATTTTTCTTAAAGGTACGTTCTCGCATAGGGGTCATGGGGCGGTTCCCAAAGTTTTGGTCCATGTGGATAAGGGCTTCTTTGATTAAGGGCAAGCCAGTAATAAGAACTGCAGATATGTCACCAAGCTCCAAGCTAAAAAGGTTCCCATATTTCTTCACAAACTGAAAAATAGTTAAATAGTAACAGTTGAATATGCACATATCCATGTGTTCAGAGATGGCGGATGTGTGTAGCTGGAGGGGCTCATATTGAGAGAAGTGTGTGTGTGTGTGTGTGTGTGTGAGAGAGAGAGAGAGAGAGAGAGTACATTGATCTCACAGGAATAATTTTATTTCCTTTTCTCCTCCTTTCAACAAGGCTCAGATTCAATTCACTTCAGAATGTGAATGTTTCTTTATAAAATATCTATTTATGTATTCAACCAACATGAATTGAGTGAGCATCTATCATGTGTCCCTAGGGCAAAGGCATGAGGATAAAACTGTAATAAAATAAATAAGTTCTGGCCATGTGGAGTGGCTCATGCCTATAATCCCAACACTTTGGGGGGCCGAGGTAGGCAGATTGTTTGAGCCCAGGAGTCCGAGACCAGTCTGGGTAACACAGTGAGACCCTGTCTTTACAAAAAAATGAAAAATTAGCTGGGTATGGTTGTACCTGCCTGTGGTCCCAGCTACTCAGGAGGCTGAGGTGGGAAGGTCACTTGAGCCTGAGAGGTTGAGCCTGCAGTGAGCCATGATCGTGCCGCTGCACTCCAACCTGGGTGACAGAGTGAAAACCTGCCTCAATATATAGACGTAGTAAACAAGATTTCTAACCCCAAGCATCCTAGAGTGTAGAGAACAGAGAGAATTCAGCACATCTGCATTCTCTTCTGAACACTAATCATATCTCAGCCACTTAAGAAGGCTGAGACTTCTTCAGTCTGGACTTCCTAGTAAATCGTAACTATCTGTTTAATCAAATGAGAATGCCCCCTTCCTAGACTGGGCATAGATTATAGAAACATATGCTAGATAATAGAAGGTGCATTATAGGGCAGGGGCCAAGCATGGAGGAAAGTCCTCAAGCTCTGGAGTTAGGTGGCAATCTGGGGTGTACAGTTCAATCGTTTTGGGCTCTTGGGGAAGTTGCTTTATTTTTTGAGCCTCAGCTCAGCTCCCCAGCTATAAAAGGGAGAAAATTATTCCTCCCTCTTAAGGTTCTGTGAGGAAGAATGAGAGCAGCAATGTGAAAGGCACTTTGTTTTCTGGTTCCAGGCGCACAGCCACCCGGCGAGTCTCCGAGGAATGAAAGAGCTCTGTGTGCAAAGGGCCGTGGATGCATTCTTACGGTGGCAAAGGGGACAGGAACCCACTGGTGTGTGGGAAGAAGGCACTCATGGTCACAGGAAGCCATTGCTAATCACTTTTCATATTTTATCTCATTAATCTCACAACCACCCTACAGTAGTAATAATTTTTCTCCTCTTTCAAGAGGGAAAACCTGTGTGACAAAGTTTAGTGGGAGTGAAAGTAAGAATGAGTGAGAGTGACAGAGTTGGGGTAGGAGAGAGAGAGAGAATGGGGGTGTGTATGTTCATGAATATGCACAAGCGTGCAAATATCTGCAAATATAGGTTGGAGGACAGTGTACAGTCACGAATCAAAATCCTTCCTAATCTACCTGTTTGACAAAGGGTCCCAGGTAGACCCTGCCTTTTCTCTGCCTGGGTTGTGTGTAGCTGCAGGCAGTGGTAACAATCCAAAGGACTTCATTTCCCTTAGGTGTTTGTAGCCTCTTCTCCACAATCCAGATGCTTTTGCACTTACGCTCCACCATGTTCCTCTCAGAGTCCTGTACCCAACAGTCCCCATCAGAGCAAATACAATGGGTTCAGTCCTATCCTACCACTTTGCTCCCACATTAAAGACCAAGCCTGAACTCAGTCCTTGTATTCTTTTGGCCCAGAGTCCTCCATCAATCTTTATCTCCTACACAGGATTTCCTGTCTTGCTAGGAAAAGCAGAGCTGAGATTCAATCTCAAGTCAGTTTGCTCCTAAAGTAAGCATCTTTGCTTCTATGAAATGGCAGTAATGGAACCACACACGTTAAGCATTTTTTTAAATGTACACTTGCTGAATTCCTGGATGAACTTCTTAGGCCTGACAAGAAGGATTTCTTGACTAATTCAGAACATTAAATAAGGATGTTTTTGGTAGAGCTGAAAAATATCAGGTTAAGTTAAATGACGTCTAACTAGCAAAGTATACAGCCTAGAATCTCAGCTTGTACTTGGGAGGGATTCAGAACTCCATTACTATTTACTGAAATAAACTTCTTAAGAATTTTATCTCTACCAACTCTCTGCCATTGCATATTTCTAGTTAAACAGAACTAGATCAACAACTTGTATGATATTATCAACTGTTTAAAGATGGAGTAGGAGCCCTGGGATGAGAATGGCGATGTCTAACAATTCTTACAAGCACCCTGTCAGTCATTTTATCCATTGCTTTAGAAAGATTAAATGACCCAGAGGGCTTCTGAGAAGATTTTATAAGGTAGGGCACACTTTTCAATTGTATATCATTAAATGAACCACGAATAAAAAAAAAACCTCAACAGAATAAAACAAAAGGAGATAAAAATAAGATGCTTTGAAAGGCAAAAACAGTCTTAAAATCAGAAATGAAAATAGAAAAAGAAAAGAAATGAAACAGAATTTTTAAAAGTCAAACAAACAAAAGTAATAAGGGACAGGAAATGTAATGCTAGGAATAAAAATTCCAAATGTAGCATAAGCATTTTAAAAAGTGTGGAACAAAATAAATGTTTACAGTAAAGAGGAAGAAGTAAAGGATTAGTGGGAGAAGAGATTGAACTATTGAACCATGGCTACCAAGAGATATAAAGTTGACAGAGATTCCACTTAATCTACGTTCTTAAATTTAATAACCAACAGAACAAACACATGAAAAGAGGAAAAGAAAAACAGGAAAAGAGTGTATTAATTCACACTCCCGCCAGCAGTAGGTCAGAGGGCCTGTTCCTGAGCTGTGCCTCTGTGTGTGTGTGTGTGTGTGTGCGTGCGCACGCGTGTGTGTGTGTGAGAGAGAGAGAGAGACAGAGAGAGAGAAATCCTAATAGGCACAAAAATGCATGCTGTTTCTATATTTCTCTAAAGTTTAACATCTTTCCCTCAATCTGGATGTTGTATTTTTAAAGTCATATGTTTATGTCTTTCAAATATTTCCGTATCAAGGTATTCAACTTTTTTTCTCATTGATACATGGAATTTCTAATAAAAAGTTGGAAATATAACTTTATTTTCATTTATATGCAAATCTGGAAAGATATCCACCAAGGTCCTATAGAGGTACTGCTGAGTGTGTGTGTGTATGTGTGTGTGTGTGTATGCACATGCGCACGTGTGCACGCATTCACAGTGATGGCAGGATAGGCACAAGGACTCTCTCTTGTTAAACTGTATTTTAATATGCTGTCTCACTGTGTATGGATTGTTGCCTTTACAGTTGAAAAGGTTTTTTATCCAATAAAGAAAAAAAATAAACAAGAAAATGGGAAATAAAGCTTTAAAACAGTGGTTCTTTACTTTTTTGAGTTATAGAATCCTTTGAAAATATAATGTATATCATAGACCTGCTCTCCAGTAAACACATACACAGCTATACACATAAACAGCTTTGCATGCAGTTTCAGGAGTTAGCAGTCCTCTGGGGCCCATGAACTCCTTCTAAGAATAATGGTTTCACAGATAGTTCTTGGGGCTGTGCTGGTTTCTGAGAACAGGCTGTGGAGATCAAATTCATGTTCAATTTAACAGGCTTTTATGAGATGCTTAAGAGTTGCCAGGCACCTTCTGGCACTGGTGTATTATAAATGGAGGTAATACAAAGATCAACATGATATGATGTTTTCCTAAAGTGTCAAAGTCTCTTGCGAGAGACTGACTGTGCAGAAAAAAATTGGAATGCACAGCAGATGACATGTGTTATTATGCTGATAGAGAGGGACATAAAGCTATCACAAGAAGAGATGACTTTCCACCACAGATATAAGAAAAATATTTTTTTAAAGAGTAGATGGTATCTGAGCCAGATTTTAAATGAAGGTCAGGATGTCACCAAAAAACAAACAGACAAAAACCAACAACCCCCAAACCACAACAATAATAAAAAAACACATGGTAAGAAATTAAAGGCATTCTGGGTTGTGGGAACATCACATACAGATGTAAAGGGGAAATGCAGAAGGTGTTTGGGAGCAAGAGAGCTACCTTGTCTGACTGAAGGATAGGGTTCATTATTTAAAGAGCACTGACCATGTGCCAGGTCAAGACCAGGTGCTGGGGAGTGCAACAAGTCCTTCACTTCAAGAAGCTAACAATCTAATGGAGCATATAGATAAATAATCACTTCTCATTATTATCTATTATCATTCTTTACAATAAAACATTTGATGGGAGGAAGTTAAGAACCACATAAGAGGACCAGGGTTGAGGCAGGCTCCTGGGAAAAGCATCTTCTCAGTCGGTAAGGGAGATGGGAGACAAGGCTGACAAGGTTATCTGAGCTAGGCTGAGGAGAGTCTTAACATCAGGTATAATATTTTGGATCTTGTTTGGTTTTCAATCAGAATTCTAAGATGTTTAAGTAGGAGAGGTGATGCAAGGGAGTGCTTAAGAGTTTGGATTTTGAAGTTATACAAACTTGTTTGAATCCAGGTTCAGCCCAATTTCTTCCAACATTCTACAAAAGGTTATCCCCAGGGTTTCCATTTAGTGATCCAATCTCCTTATATCCCATTTGGTTGCCAAGTGTGTACACTATACATTTAGTCATATACAGCCTTGTACTTTGCCTGGCATGGGATAAGCACTTAATAAATGTCTGTTGAATGAATAAACATGTGAGTAAACCAATTGTCCTCTAACTATGTCATGAAAAGTCAGGCAACATAAAGTAGATAACGGGTATATGTAGGGAGACTCCCTGAAACTATTACTACAGAACAAAAGATGAAATGCTCCTGATTATTGTAAATGCAAAATTGCATGCAGGATTGTGTAAAGACAATGCCAGCTGGGCTGCCAGAATGAGCCAACAGCACGTGATGTGCTTCCCCCTGTAGAGAGCCTATAAATGGATGTGCAGTCAG